GATTAGGAGTGACAATCGAGTCGTGTCGTGTCAGATTTATGTTGAGTCAGTACGAGTTTGTGTCGAACATTAATCAAATCTAATTCAACTCATTTAACTAATTGTGGCATATCGAGTTGCGAGTTAACTTGTTTATTTTCGTATCGTATTTATTTCGTGTTCACCCACGTAAACTTTAAATAAAAAATTTAACTCTAATATTCTATTTTCACATAATTGAATCCATGTTAATATTTTTTCTATAAATTAAAAATTAACTTAAATAAATATAATAATAATAAGTAAAAATATCTTTTTTATATAATAATTATGTTAGTATTTAATAAATAGTTAGAAATAATTAACATGTTAAGTCTATAATACTAGGTAAATATGTTAGTTTCGTATTAATTTTGTGTTACCATACAAATGAGAACATAGAAAAAATATTTATTTTTAAATAAACAGGTTGATGGTATCAATTTTGAGTTTGATTGGTTGAACTAAATATGAACATTTTATATTTCTTGCTCGCGTATTAGGTCATTTTCAAGTTCGTGTCGAGTTATAATCAAGTTCGTATCATAAAATTCTTGTCGAGTTTGAGTTGTGTTGTCATGCTGACTCGAAAATTTTGACTTCTATTAAGATGGAAAAAATATTTTTTTAATTTAAAATTTTAATTTTTAATTTTTAAATTTTTTTAAAAAAATATAAATATAAATACATATTTTGTCATTGTATTTTTATATGAAATAAACGTATACATAATATATGTATATATTAAAAGATATATAGACAAATAAGATATATCTCAAAACAAATAATTAATTTTTCATCCAATTTTCTTTCGATTTTAGAGGAATTGACTTTAGTGAGTTAGAGAAAAAGTTAATCCATCAACTTTTTCATCCTTCCTATTTTTCTTCCTTACCAAATATGATTTATTTATCTCTCTAACTTTTTATCCTTCCATCCTTCTATTTTTTCATCATACCATTAATGAGATAACATCTTACATGAATTTACCACCTCATTGAAATTTTGTCAACTAATTTATTCCAATTCTGACTCTTTAAAATTTTCAATTCTTTAGGTCTCCTACTCAGTTCGTTACTATTCATTGCTTCATCTTGTGAGTCACATGAGCAACCCATTAAGTGCTTTTTAAAATTGGAAGTATTTGTAGATACATTGTCTCAATCCAGCAAACTAAGAAACAAAATTCAAGTCAATTGCGAAAAGAGAGAAATTAAACAAACTGCTTTCTTTTCTTTTTTATTTTATTTTATTTTAAATGCTACATAACCCAAATAAAACTCAAAAATTAAAAATCAAATACATATCATCCCTTAGATGAATGTGGAATGAGTGGACCCCACTAAAAAAATTGATGAGACCTATACATTCAAAAGATGATATGCATTTGAATTACAATTTTTTGGGTTTCATTTAAGTTTTGTAGTATTCCTCTTTTTTTTTTTTTCTCTCTCCTTCTATAGCATAAATTGGTGGCACGATTCATAGTACATAGACCCCGAACGCCGTTTTTCAATGGTGATGAAATATCACTGGAGTTCGAACCCAAAAACCCAAGTCACAGCCATGACTGTAAGATCCTTGCTGGTTGGGTGGCTAATGTGAATCGTCGAAGACGACAGAACTTGTTGGGAGAGAAAGGAATGAATGGTAACAAGAAATTAGGCAAACCGCGTAGGACATGTAAAGAATTGAGAAAAATTTAAAGAGTCAGAATATAAGTAAATTAGTTGGCAAAATTTTAAAGAGGTGGCAAATCTATGCCCGATGTCATCACATTAAGCCTCCATTTTATGTTTTTATTGTAGGTCACAATAGAATTATTGAAATTCATTTCTATATTTGCAATTTTACCTCACCTGCCACGCAACCATACTACGAAAAATTATTGGATGACAAGAATTAGCTATTTCCAAAGAATAAAATTTGGTAAACGCAAATTTGGGATTGCATTTTTATGTAATATAATTTTTACTAGATAGGACCGACTTAGATAAATGCCATTGTCTTGTACATGATTAGTCATTAAAATTAGCATATTACTATGCTCTTTTATGACTAATTATACTTTGATGGAGTTTAAATGATGACATTTCTGGCCATAAATTGTACAAGGGATTAAAGGCAATGAGTATCAAACTTTCATGCAATACCAAAATATTCTGGAGAAAAATTGGAAAAGCTTGGATCAAGCCAAGAACGTTTGAACGCCAACTAACTTTCGAACGTCCACTTGAATGGATTGAAGACCAGACTGCTGAGACATGACGTGTTGCAGCCAAGAAGGAAGACTCTGAGGTACTTGAGTACCATGTTCAAACGCCAACTCACGTTCGAACATCCACTTAAATTGATTGAAGACCAGACTGATGAGTGCAAAACGCCAAGATGTGCATGAAGTGTGGAAATAGGTTTCCAGAGAAGACCACAGGCCAATTGAGCGAGAAAGTCAGGCCCCATCTGGCATTCGAACACCTATAAAGCAAAGACAGAAGACACGTTCAAACGCCATATAACGTTTGAACGCCCATAAAGGAAAAATAGATACAATGTTTGAATGTCAACTCACGTTCGAACGTTCTCCATAGGCAGGCTGTAGAGTTGTTGGTTTTTCACTTGGACTTGGGCGACATACATTATTCCTTCACACTCTCTTGTCTTCCCCCCCTTCTTTCTTGCCTATAAATACTCCCTTTGGAGGAGGAGGAGTTCTTGTAAAAGACTAGAACTTGGTTTGTAAGGCTTTGACTACACCAAGAACTAGTCAAGAGTTAGATGGAGGCTTAGACTCCCACTCATATGCTAAGTCTTAGACTTAGTGTTATATTTACTTGTATCAAGGGAGATAGATCCTCTTTTGATTGCGGTGGAAACCCTCCAAAAGTGTCTAACTTTCTTCCATTTTCATTTAATGTCTTTCACTTTCATTGCTTGAGCTTCCGTTTTTCTTAGAGGAGTGAAGCTCTTCCACTTTTTTAGAGCTTTACCAAAGCCGTGAAGGGTGGAACATGATTCACTCATTCTTCGTTGAAGATCGGCTCCTCACTTATTGTACTTTACCTTGTAGTTCTATACTTGGAGGGATGAGCATCACTTACTTTTCTAACTTTATTCAAACCATAAAGAGTGAGTAGTTCCTCATTCACTTTTTAGTAAGAGGTGATGAATATGTATAAATTATTCGGAAGTTATATTTGTGCATTTCCTTTATGCTTTAATACTTTATATTTCACTTGTTTATTGAATGATTGAATGTATCTAGCAAAGATAAGGTACTTTGTATAACCGTAGATTCTCTTTATGTCACGGATGTCTCTTGCATAGAAAGATTTGTTGCTTCAAGGCAAGTACCTCAAGTAGATCTTCATGACAACATTTCAATTTTCACAATTATTGTGCTTTTATCTAAAGAATGAAACATTAATGTCATGGTTGGATGCCTTGTAGAAATACTTGCTTGTTTGTAAATGGGTTCACAAACAATTTTTGTAAACTTCTGAAAGACATCAGAACCATGTGCTTAATTCTCACAGTCTATCTTTATCTTCCAATTAACTTGCTATTGACACGGGGGTTAATTGAGTTATAAAGTACAAGTATAATAAATCGGATGATTAACTACATATTCTGATCCTCGAACTAAATGATGACTGTTTACATTTGAATTTATTTTATATTTTTGTGTAGAAAACTCTTGGAAAGAATCTTATGTTCTATTCAAGAAATCTCATAACTTCAAACTCTCAAGGTTTTCAATTACTTTGTCTTTGTCACTGTTACTTTAAAACACTAATCATAGTTACCTGTGAATTTGACTCCGGACTTAACCGGATTATTATTACAACTTGACCGCCTGTACTTAGGTGTACACATATCGGATCAAGTCAGTGCACTAGTAAAAATGTCGGGCCAACAAATGTTATGTTTTCGAATATTTCTTTTAGACAATCGGGCACAAACATATACATACTAAAAAAATTGAGCTAAGATTATGTAATTCAAACATACTTTTGGCAGCACCAATAGCTGAGGAAGATTCCTCAACAACCAAGTGTAGCCCTTGAGATTTTGCTGGCTTTCAATATATAGTATTCACAAATTATAACGATTAAAAGTAACTCCAACAATGCTCTCTATTTTTAGAGAGCATTTTTAATAAAAAAAATTATATCAAAGAGTATATTTTTGCACACCTACATTATTATCATTTTATATTATCCTTTTTAGCAATAAATTTGATTTATACCTTATTTTTATTCCATTATTTTAAATAAAATACATTTATCTTGAATGTCTTGGATAAAAAGATAAATATATCCATTTTTTGTTCCAAAAAATAGAGTAGAATGAATTTGACTCTCCAAATATAGAGTTAAATTGGACTATTTATTTTAGAGAGTCTAAATAAAGAGTCTATTTGAGAAAAAATTTAAGGGTTGACTCTTTATAATAAAGAATTGAGTGAAAATACAGAACCTATTGGAGATGCTCTAACACTAAATAGTTTACATGACCATGAAATCTAGTATTAGTGCAAATAAAACATACATAAAGGTAGTATTATTTGTATAAACAATACAGCACAGTACTATTTGCATAAATAATTTTCCTCCCCTCATCCCAAAAGTTACAAGATTCCGTAATATTATTCTAATGCTGTGATTTTGAATTCTGAATTTGCAGCTACTTATGCCATCAACGAAATATGTCTCGCTAATATCCACCCATTAAGCATAACTTGTCGCGCTCAAGCTGAAGTAGCAACCAAAGTAATACCCTTTGCTCTATTAAGTCCATTCAGTCTGCATTCTGAGATGCTACAAGAAAATAAATGGACCGTCACAAAAGCTAGAGTTGAGGATTGCTTGGAATAAAACTGATGAATTAGAGTGCTTTCAAGCAGCGAGAAAATACAAGCAGGAAAGAGATTTACCTCTTATATCACAAATAATTTAGTAACCCAAATTTTCTGCAATTTCAACCTGCTCCTTGAGAGTGTCATAAAGGATCTCAACAACATTCAGCAGGAATGCATCTGAGCCATGTTTTGCTAGCAAAGACACTGCCACCGGAAGATTATCATACATCCCAAGAGGTATGCTCAACTGTAAATTGAATCAGTTCCACAAGCAGCAAATTACACTAATGAATATAATCGCCTGAGCCCACACCCTCCCCAAAAAGGAAATATCAAATCAATTCTTCTTGCCCAATTAAATGAAAATCATGTGGGGCTGTGTCAGAAAGAGAGAGAGAACCTGGCAAAATCCAGATACTCCAGCAATGGACAACAAGCTAAAAGCTCTGACACAAAAAGTTTCCAGGGTAGAAGCCTCTGTTTGAAGTTTTGGAGGAGGCCCAGGAACTGTAGGGATTGCAAGGATGCCCAGATCCTACAATTGTTCTCCAAAACAACCACAATAACTAATGAAGATACTGGAAATTTTAAGTGCAGAGAAGTTCAAAAGATGGTTAATCTTCAATGCAAGAGTAAGAGATAAAGGACAAAACACCAAGCTTTTGTGGGTTGTAAATCAGATAAGCAGGATCAAAGTTGTGTTTCGTAATGGTCGAAATGGTTCCATTTTCAACAGAGACAGAAACAAATCAACGATGGAATCAAAATTCTCATGTTTCGAGGTGTTTAGAATGTTTCAACATTTTTCCACTAATATTTTAAAATGTTTTGAGGTTTTCAAGATGTTTTGATATTAAAAAAAAAAAAAAATCTTCGCAGCCTTCCTGGATCATTCTTCACTCAGCTCGTGTATACAATCGATTTAACTATGAAATGTGTAATAGAGATTTGATTACTTTCATTTGAGCTTTAAGGAAGTCCTGCCCTCTCGTTTTATACCCCTATATTGTGAAGAAGGTGTCCCCTGCACCAGACTGGAATCTCCATCCCAATTGGGAACCACAAAAGTGATTATATCATGACCAATGTTTAGGAATGTTTGAGAAATAAATTCCCAAACTTTTTATTTCCATTTTTGCTTCCGAAACATTCCCGTTTCCCAAGTGATCGAAATAATATACCGAAATAAAATTTTAATCCTTGCTAATAACTTATAAAGGTCAAAAACTTATGGATAAGGAGTAAACTAGATAGGAATTTTGAACAAACAAAACAGTATACCATCCCGGATTCCACTCCCTCTTGTTGATTAGACCATGTAAAAACTACATTATTAATTCAAGTTAGATTGTTCCATCATTCCCAATGATGGAACAGTCTCTACTTACATGCATACATCTTAATTGTTTAACTACTACTGCCTCCTTGTCATCAGAAGACGTCCTCTTCTTTGTTTTTCTTTCTCTTATTCCTTTTTTTTTAAAAGAAAACAGAAACAAAAACAAGGTGGGGTCCAGATCAGCAGCACACACAACACACACACATGTGGGTTACAAAATATATTGGTTGAGAAATAACACGAGGAGATGTCAAACCTCTGCATAGATTTTTACCAACATATGAATCTAATATTCATGTTATTAAACATTACCCAACTGTAGATTGTTAATATTAAATTAGCATCCATAACTGTAACATCCTGTGTGTTAAACATGCTCTAGTCTCATTAAATTTCAAAATAATACCATCCAGTTGCATCTGTGACAAAATCATACGAAACCTTCTCACCATTTTCTCCTGAAACGGGAGGATTACAGCAATACAAGTGACATTGGCTTCTAAGACCGTACGTTTTTATTTCATGGGGGTGGAAGTGGGGGGGAGGAGTTAGAGAGAGAGTATGGGTGTACCCCAACAAGAGAAGCCAGAGCAGCACGTAATTCAGTCAACATTCTTTGGCAGACATCTATATTTTCATCTGTAGCTGCAATAGCTTCCCACACACGTTCTGATATCCCTGGACCTAAATCAGGTTTGACACTACTGACCCATTCACCATGATTTTTCTTGAACTCATACCTGTCTCAGAGAGATAAACAGTTTAACCTCAATACCTGAATAAAGAGAGGGATCTTTCAGATGGCAAGAGAGCGACTGCTNTGTTGTTCTGAAATATTGCAAAACTGATGACAATGTTGCAGACATCTTCACCAAACCTTTGGTAAGAAGCAAATTTGAGTTTTTAAGGGAAAAACTTGGAGTTTGCAGCATCAAAGCCAAGGAGGAGTGTTAAGAAGTTGACTTAGCTACTGCATTTCCTATTTAGTTGCTGTAATTTTTCTTTTTCTGTTATGTTTTTTATTTATTGACTTGTTCTACTGCATTTCAGTCATCATTTCCATTTTTCTAGCTAAATTGTTAAACATGGAGGCATGTTCCATGGTTGAGCTGGAATATAGGAATTTTTGTTTTTTTGAGCTGTATTTAAGCACATTTGCAGTTAATAAAAAAATTTAGATTACACTGAAATATTCTTCTCTTTCTTTGTTAATTCTTAGTTTGCTCCAACAACNCAGTTAATAAAAAAATTTAGATTACACTGAAATATTCTTCTCTTTCTTTGTTAATTCTTAGTTTGCTCCAACAACCATTAACAAGAATTTTAGAAACTCGATCACTTGGAATGCTTAGAAGCTTGAAACAATCATCTGCAATAAAAATATGCTCAGGTCTAGCAGGATGCATATCAGGCATTTGCAGTAGAACCCTCCCAACTTGATTCAATAGCACAGGGTCCCTAGCAAACCAGCCTGGAAAACAAGAGTCAAAAAATGAATTGCCAAATAAAATTAGGAAGCTTGTCTCACTACAACGATAGATTAACATTAAGTAGAATAATGCCGATCACATCAAGGGGAAAGAGAGAGAGAGAGAAGTAGAATCTCGTGGACATAAGAAAGCCACTCAGCCACTCCAAACGTCAGAGCTATTAAACACGCATGCACGCACACACACATACGAGAATAAACATGCACACGTTGGCACACCTACCAATGTTCACACTTAAAGTGATAGTATCTAATTTATGTTCATCTCGTAAGCTTTCAAGGTGCCAAACCCATTCAATAGACATTTTTGTTTTTCCTGCCTAACTGAAAAAGATATATCTGACCATAAAATGAAAATATAGCAATGCAGAAAGCACTTACCTTAGTACCTTAATAAGACACGTTGGACCTTTCTTAGCTACCACATAGCTATCTTGCTATGAATTAAAATGCAAAGTGAACATGTCAGGAAATGTTACATTAAAGGTTTCTTGAGAAAATAAAAATTCATATCTGAATTCAAAAGTAAATGCTTGTTTAAACTGCACTATGATATGAACAATATAATTGGCCATTATTTTGCACTTGTGATTTTCAAGTGTAGAGTTAAGTATTCAGTGCATCAGTCTTATCAATTATGTGAAGGATGTGTTGTTTGTAGTTAGATGGTTTCTCACCCACAGTGNTGTGATTTTCAAGTGTAGAGTTGAGCATTTAGTGCATCAGTCTTATCAATTATGTGAAGGATGTGTTGTTTGTAGTTAGATGGTTTCTCACCCACAGTGTCAAAACTCTGTGCCATAGGAATAACCCCCGTAGTAGAAACAACTCCATGAGAAGGCCGGAACCCAAAAATCCCACAAAATGAGGCTGGAAATCTTACACTTCCTCCAATGTCAGTACCTGTGATTGGAAAAGTTTGCTTCAATTAGGAATATGGAGAAACCCATGAAAATTCTCCAATGTCAGAAAAATCACCTAAGGAAAAATCCACAAGCCTTGCACCGACTGCAACTGCAGATCCATTAGAAGATCCTCCAGGTACCCGATCTGAAGCACATGGATTTGTAGGTGTCCCATGATGTTTGTTTTCTCCAATTATACTACCAAAAGATGATTGATTCAGTCTTGTGACATACAAGCACACAAAAACACCGAATATTCTTTTCTATGTAAGGAAGAAGAATTAGGTGAAGCCTAAAAGCATTTACAAAGTTGTTGACAACCAAATTACAAAAGACGTTGAGGTAATTCAGTTTTGCTTTCCATGTCATTTGAATACTATATATCAGTAAAAGGAAAATCAAGATAACGAAAAATCCACAATGTATGGAAAGGAATCATTTCATTTTCACAAGTCCTCCACAAGCCTCCTAAGCATGATTCAAAGAATCGACCGATACTTATACGAGTCGGACGAGGAGTATTCGACTCGTCACCTCCCAAGACGATACCGTTATTTGATGTAAAACCCAAAAATATTAAAATTTTATTAAAAATGGCAAAACGGTAATTAGTCGTTACAGTACGGATTGAAAATCCGAATTTTTATGGAACTCGGATGACAAAACGGACCTCACATTTGGATTTGTATCGCGAAACTTAGCTATCCAATCAATTTTCGTCAAAAATTAAAATTTTTCACGTTTTACGAGGCAATCGGATGTCGCACAACTAAACTAAACACGACCAGATTTTATTCGTGGAACCCAAGAAATAATTTAAAGTTAGTTCAATAAAATGTACTAAACTTAACCCGAGACGAGATTTAATTGACCTGGGATAAAATTTGATTATAAAAAGGGGAATGTGTGGCGCAACGAGGCCAAGTATTTGACGAGTATAAAAGGGGAAGAAAATCAAAATTTCTTCCCCATTCTTCAACCCATTATTGGATAGAGAGAGAGAGAGAGAAGAGAGAAAGAAAAATAGAAAAAACTCCCTCCTCACCTTCTTCCTCCAATTTACGATGATCCGACCGTCGGATTTCTTTGAGCTAAGAACTAAAGTCGTTCTACATGACAAGACCTACAAAACCATACTAAAGATCGTGAGTTTCACCATAATCTCAAAGACGGATTTTCGGGATCAAGCTTGGGAGGCTTATTTTGGGCGTTTGGAGCTTCTAGTACGGGGATATATGCTACAAGAGGTGAGGTTCCTTTTCTAACTAGGTTTATTTTCAACTTAGAGTTGAAACATGAAATGGGTAGGGTTTTAGAGATGAAATTCTTATGTATAACACATACCTAGAGTTATTAGAATATGGAAAAATGGGTAAAATAATATGTTACAACTAATTCTTGTATGTTTTGGTTTCACAAAATTGATTGATATGAATTTCATGAACAATGTGTTAATTGGATATGTATGTGTTTGCATTTATGCCTTATAGGTATTTGATAAAATGCCAATGGGTGATTAAGTGTGTTATTTTGAATGAAAAATGCTATAACATGATTATTAGTCTTGGAAAATATTATTATATGTTTTATGATATAATTGACATTTGAGAAATTGAGAACGTATGTGAAAATTAAATATATGCTCATTATATGCTCATGATGTGATGAATTATGAAATTGAAAATTGCAATTGTACATAGCATTTGCATATGCACGGGTAGCATCACATTCGTAGGCATTCGACATGAGTGTGGATCTGTGTACATGGTTTTGATCAAACACCATCCTTAGAAGGGAAATGTACATTTCATCATGATTGCAAACGAGATACCAACATGTCTACAAAAGAAAGGACTCTTTCAACAAAGATTTATGCACATGAAGTTCTTCTCCAACATCAATAATCTAGAGGAAGCCCATGTTTTTGCTACTTTACGGGGATGTATTCAAAGAAGATTAAGCAAAAGCTTAGAATGAAACACCAACAAATATATTAATATAGCTTATAACAATAGTTGAGGAATTTTCTTCCATCCAGGAGAACATATTCGTCTGTTAGGTGGTGTTATGCTGAAGGCTCAAGAGATTTATGAGACTCAGTACAAAGTGGATATCGAGAATTGCTTGACATCGTCACCGCTAGCTGTGCGCATTTATCGTATGAGCTATTACGATCCAAATAGTTTTCCTATCTATATACCATGTAGGAACGAAGATACATTCATTTAGCGTGGGTACTATGGAGGCCATGATGATACATATAAGCCTTATGGGGTCAATTTATACTACTACGACGTGAACTCCTTATATACATATATCATGAAAACTTTTACTACATCGGGTGGTGTACCAGTCTATGTAATGCTCGTTGGTAACAACTGATTTTTAAACCCATGGGCACCAACTATAAAATCTTGCCATTATATCTCTGAAAAAAACAAAAATTATTATTGTTTCCATCCATCAATGAAAACAAATGGAGACCAATGCAAGAGGCTCTCGTCACAACTGGATCTGGATCGTTTAGTTTGGTGTGGTTTGTCATCTCATGCAATCTGTAATATTACACATTTTTAAAGTAAACATAAGTTTAATAGCCAACACCATCCCTTTGACCTTTTGGGAATTTAGTCTTGTTAAGTTTAGAAAATAGAGAGAATTAACCCAATATGAGAGAGGCAGAGAATAACATCATACCTTAAGTCTCACACTCAACTTATATTTATAGTTACCTAATAATAATACAAAGGACTAGTATACCCTTAGGGAGGTATATTTCTTATACAATAATAAATATTAACCAATATTACACTAACACTCTCAACACTGCTACTCAAGCTGGAGTATATATATATATATACTTTAAACTTGGAACAGATGGTTGTAAGTCGAGGACGACTCAATGCTTTGGTGAACATATTGACAAGTTAATCCTCAGATCTCACAAATGGTGTTGCAATATCTCTATCTAGTATCTTGTCTTGAATAAAGTGACAATCAACTTCAATATGATTGATCCTCTCATAAAATACTTGTTTAACATCATCTAGATCCCCNATCTCACAAATGGTGTTGCAATATCTCTATCTAGTATCTTGTCTTGAATAAAGTGACAATCAACTTCAATATGTTTGATCCTCTCATAAAATACTTGTTTAGCATCATCTAGATCCCTGAGATTTGTTACTAACTCACACAGACCCCCTCATGTATGAAAAATAACATTATCACCCCTTGAACTATGGGTACATAGAACACAAACATCCCTGTCGTTAGCTCCGTTCAACTTGCCANCTTGTTAAGTTTAGAAAATAGAGAGAATTAACCCAATATGAGAGAGGCAGAGAATAACATCATACCTTAAGTCTCACACTCAACTTATATTTATAGTTACCTAATAATAATACAAAGGACTAGTATACCCTTAGGGAGGTATATTTCTTATACAATAATAAATATTAACCAATATTACACTAACACTCTCAACACTGCTGCTCAAGCTGGAGTATATATATATATATACTTTAAACTTGGAACAGATGGTTGTAAGTCGAGGACGACTCAATGCTTTGGTGAACATATTGACAAGTTAATCCTCAGATCTCACAAATGGTGTTGCAATATCTCTATCTAGTATCTTGTCTTGAATAAAGTGACAATCAACTTCAATATGTTTGATCCTCTCATAAAATACTTGTTTAGCATCATCTAGATCCCTGAGATTTGTTACTAACTCACACAGACCCCCTCATGTATGAAAAATAACATTATCACCCCTTGAACTATGGGTACATAGAACACAAACATCCCTGTCGTTAGCTCCGTTCAACTTGCCATCAAAATTGAATGACATCAACATATTATTTTAAATAAAATTCTCTAAAATTCAAGAGAAAACCCAATAATTATCCATGCCTTCAAAACACACCCGAGTCATCCTCAACCCCAAAATGCATCTAGCACAAAATTAACCCCCATTATTCCCCTCCCCCGTCCAATCCTTCCACCCTAATCCCGTGTACACATTGTTGCAAAAACCCACTAGAAAATGTTTGGGGGAGAGGAAAAGGGGGAGAGAGAGAGCGATGCACAGTAGAGGGGGAGAGAGAGAGATGCATNTTGTAAGTCGAGGACGACTCAATGCTTTGGTGAACATATTGACAAGTTAATCCTCAGATCTCACAAATGGTGTTGCAATATCTCTATCTAGTATCTTGTCTTGAATAAAGTGACAATCAACTTCAATATGTTTGATCCTCTCATAAAATACTTGTTTAGCATCATCTAGATCCCTGAGATTTGTTACTAACTCACACAGACCCCCTCATGTATGAAAAATAACATTATCACCCCTTGAACTATGGGTACATAGAACACAAACACAAACATCCCTGTCGTTAGCTCCGTTCAACTTGCCGTCAAAATTGAATGACATCAACATATTATTTTAAATAAAATTCTCTAAAATTCAAGAGAAAACCCAATAATTATCCATGGCTTCAAAACACACCCGAGTCATCCTCAACCCCAAAATGCATCTAGCGCAAAATTAACCCCCATTATTCCCCTCCCCCGTCCAATCCTTCCACCCTAACCCCATGTACACATTGTTGCAAAAAACCACTAGAAAGTGTTTGGGGCAGAGGAAAAGGGGGAGAGAGAGAGCGATGCACAGTAGAGGGGGAGAGAGAGAGATGCATAGTGGACTTACTCTACCCCAATCCATCACCACCGAAACACCATCCACCCATATTTGCCACCATCTAGAACACCCCCAACCCCAAAATCTGCTACAAAAACACCCAAGCCATCACTGAACCCCACACACACAATTAACCACGCCACAACAATTCAAACCCACTACATATATTCTAACCCTTTTGTCCCATTGATTCTACACCCACCAAAACTGTCACCATGAAGTAGACCCCCACCCCTAAATTCTCTACCACAAAACACCAAAACTACCACCGTACAACGCCCATGTGACAGTTACAACTGCCTCCACCGAAATCACACCCTCAAAATCGACGTTGTCTAGACCACCTTCACCCCCAAAAACCTTAGCCACCATCCCAAGTAATCATAGCAGCCATCACGTCACCAAGACGAGAGAGACAAAGGGGAGAGGAAAAGTCTTTGATCATTGTTCTGAGAGAGAGGGTTGCAGTAAGGTAGAGTGCAATGGAGGAGAAATCGGTGCCTTCGGTGGTGATGATTGTGTAGAAGCTGGAATGAAGTGGGACAGAGGAAAAAAAAATGGGATATTTTATGGGTTTTGTGTTCGGGTCAAGTTGGTCAGTTGTGAATTAGAGTTTTTGTTTAATCTGAATTTTATCAAGGATAAAATAGACATTTAGCAACTTCTGTTAGATCTGTTAGCTAATTGTTACTTACAAGGGGTTTTAGTATAATTTATCAAATGTGAGGGAGTCCATCTATTTAAGTGATAAATTTCAGGGGATTTACATGTAATTTACCCATATCATTATTAGATCCCAATTTTACCCTATCCCAAAAGTTACTAGAGGTAAGATGAAACGGGGTAGTGGCGTAGACCAAGAAGACCCCTTTTTTAAGTGATCAAACATCGTAATCAAACAATTAGAGGCAAACAAAAGAAAGGGTTAGAGGATAATACGTTGTGGATTATAAAAACTATAAAAATATACTTTTTTTGTAAGTGTATCAAGTGAAAAGTCCGTAATGCACCTAGGATACTTTGTAATTACAAATTTTTTTTCTTCAAGGTTTGTGATTATAAACTTTAAATCTTTAATTTTNTGTAAGTGTATCAAGTGAAAAGTCCGTAATGCACCTAGGATACTTTGTAATTACAAATTTTTTTTCTTCAAGGTTTGTGATTATAAACTTTAAATCTTTTCACCAAGTTAATGTGTTACTAGTTCAACTAATTGGATCATTTGGGTTTTTGCGAGTTTAGACAAAATGCTAACGAACCGAATCTAAGAATAGGTCATTGGTTATTCGAGTACCAAGACATTAACAAAATGATTTTTCGTATAACTATCCTCTAGGTGGTCCAAAGTGCGATCAATATTACCTCGATAGAGTATTTCAAATGATTAAATGAATAAGGTTTACCTGTCTTTTTTCAAAACTTTCTTGAATAAGATTAATCAATACACTCAAAGCAAAAAATAATAATAATGATTCAACACAAGATTAACAAAAGATAAAGCTCTTATTAATCTAGAAAGAAGCGTTGGTCACACAGACATATGAGATAGTCTTATTTACAACAATAAGTCCTATTCTAAACTAAACTAAAAACTACTCTTAGTTATGCCCAAGTCATGTGTCTTGTTGGGTTTGATCATGTCTCCTTCTATTATTGATTCTTTTTTATAGGCATATTCCATCGGTTGGAACGCGAGTCTCAAGATTGTTAATGACACGTATAAAACAAATATATATATATATATATATATATATATATATTATTTGTTAACCCTGCAAGGTAGCATTAGGATTTATCTTCGATGCACAAATAAAAACTTGATGTAGATTGAACAATCGGTTAGATGGACCTCATGATCTTCTACCGTATGTCTTTCAACTCCAACAACTCGAATGCAATATGAACGACAATCCTTAGAATTTTCTTTCTTGCTATCTCTCTCTTTGTTTCTTCTAAACGTGAAGGTAAAAAGTGGCTAAGAGAAGGAAAAAGAGTGTGTATATATGGGCTATAGTAGAGATCCACTTCAGGATCCACATACTAATCCTCTTTTGTCGAGGTGAACCTGCTAATTTTGAAAAATTCAGGAAAAATTAAAATTTTATTAAAAAATAGCAAAACGGTAATTAGTCATTATAATAAGGGTTGAAAACTTAAATTTTTATAGAATTTGAATGACGAAACGGATCTCACCGTTCGATTCGTCTCTCGAAATCTAGCTGGCCAATCAAATTTTGTCGAATTTCAAGATAGTCAAATTTTTCGCATTTTATGAGGCGATCAGACGTTGCGCGGGCTAAAATAAACATGATTATATTTTAGTCACGAAACCCAATAAACAATTTAAAGTTAGTTCAAAAAAAATATACTAAACTTAAATGAGACGAGATTTAACTGATTCAGGGTAAAATTGAATCAGAAAAGCTGGGACGTGTGGCTTAATGAGAGCCAAGCAAATGAGGGTATAAATAGGGGAGAAAAATCAAAATTTCTCCCCATTTACACCCATCATTTCAAATAGAGAAAAAAGAGAAAGAAAAACAAGAGAGAGAAAAACAAGAGTTCTCCAAGTTTTTTCCTCTGATCTACTGCAATCCAGCTGTCGAATCTCTTTGAACAAAAAAATAAAGTTGTTCTACGCGACAAGAGTTACGCGTACATATCAAAGATTGTGCATTTCACCAAAATCTCAAGAACGGGATTTTTGGGATAAAGGCCAGGTTTAATTTGGGTCGTTTGAAACTTCTCTTATGCGGATTTATGCTTCAAGAGGTAATATTCTTTTCCTCATTAGATTTATTTCCAACATAGGGTTATATATGAAATGGGTATGATGATTTGAGATGAAATCTCTTGCTTAGCATACACTTAGTGTAAGTAGAATATGCAAAATGAGTATAAAAACATGTTTGAACCAATTTTGTATGATTGGGTTTTGAGAAAATTGTTTATTTGTAATTTCATAAAGAAATGTGTAAATTGGGCATGCTATGTGTTTACATAATTTTTGCTTTATTGGAAATGATAAAATGCCTATGATTGATTAAGTATGTTATTTGAATTGAAATCAAAAGTCAATTTGCCCGAAATTCAAACTTCATGATCAATGTTTCATAAATGATTCGAGGTTTCTACCATCCTTTTATTCATCCTAGTTAAAAATATTAAGATAATATTATCCTATTTAATTATAATACGAGGTCTTACATATATAGAATTTGAAAGAATAGTCATTTGAGTAAATGTATTTTGATCCTCCAGCAAAGTTAAGCACAAGATTTACATGGGTTAATATTCATCTCCACTATAGATGTCAATTTGTTTTGTGGATCTCATTCAATAAATCACAAAAATTAACACGGTCATAACATACATAAATTTGAATTTCAATTGCAAACATAAACATAATACTCAAATATAGAATAAACTCTTATAGAGTGCTAATATGCAAACACTCAAGATTCAAATTGAATATTTAAAAAAAAAAAACAACTACTGGCTGCAAAACAACAAAATACTACAAAAAAAAGCATAAAAATTACTAAAATCACCTAGAAAATAAAACACAAAATAAAAATAAAGCACTCAAGGATATGCTTATACGCCCCAACCTAGACCCAACACTATGCTTAACGAAAGGTATTAACTTGATACTTCAAATAATAATGGGTACAAAGTAAAAAGGTGTGTGTAAATCTTAAAAAAAATAAAAATCAATAAATAACAAAAAATAATAAAAATAATTCTAACAAACATATATAATGAAAAGAAAAAAAAACTATAGATTTGGTTTTAACTCAAATATATATTTTTTATTTTAAAATTTTGGTTTTTTATTGCATTTCTTATTCAATTTATCCATTTATCATCCCAGAACACTTTTAAAGAATTTAATAAAAATAAAATATGTACATCTTTATGCAAGTCCAAAAATAAAGATTTAGATGGTTTTGGTTCAAGTATAACACTCAAATCAACTTGCAACCTCTTGATAATGAAGGGTCTTCAGACTCTTGAGCCTATTGACTGATATGAAAATTAATAATCAACATTATCAGTAGTAGTAATGGATAAATAATGCTCAAACGACATTTGATAAAAAGAATTATTCTCAATGTATTGACTATGTGTATTTTTTTTTTACATTTAAATTAGAAGTTAGGTTAGATGTAAGATTAACAGAGGTTAGATCCATTTTAAATAAATTTACGATCATGGTCAATTCATTGAGAATATTCTTAAGATCTTACAGATATTGATTAGTTTGAGCATTAATAGTCATTTGGGTATGCATGAATTCATTCAAAGTGTTTTCAATATGAAAATTTGATAAAAAAAAACAAAATGGTTCATACAGTAATGTAGGATTATCTGGTGTATAATATTTGTTGCCCCAACCATAATTATGATAACAAGGTTCAAAATCATAGTTGGCATAAGATTGTTGGAAATCACGTATAGCATTAAACTGATCCAACAAAATTTGTTGACCAAATGGAACTTTTGGACAATCTTTAGTGATATGCTCATACTTGAAACAAATCCCAGAAATACACTCCGTAAAGGAGTATTTAACACCTTATTAAATAAAGTAAAAAAATCAAAAGAAATTTTTTATACAAAAATAAAAACAATAGAAATATTCACAAAAAATACAATGAAAAATGTACATGGGCTTATAATAAAAATTACAAGACTTACACATTACTGATCTGAATCACCTTTTAAATTCGTTCGTTTGTTTTCCTCAGCAATGACACTAAAAATGCTTGATCCCCAGATGTGGTAAATATCAAACTGCTTCCCAAACATAGGAAATTTATCGTATATTAATTCAGAAAATACCGAGGTCGTCTCCTCAGGAAAAAACTACAACAAATTCTAAAGGTGATATAATTCAAACAAAAATAAAAATATTTTGGTTTAAAAGTAGTCAATAAAAACTACGAGACAATATTTAAATGAACTTGCTAATCATTAAAGTTCATCTCATCGTGAATATAAAATTTGACCTAATTTTATAACTCATTGAAGACTATAATCAAATTCACTTGGATGGAGAATATTCAACTAAAATCAGAGTTTAGGAAATATGTATTTTGATGAGAGAATTAATTCATGAAATAATTAATATCATGTTGATTATAGGGACTCAAAGAATTAACCGTGCCAAATTTAATTGTCTATGACTAAGCTAAGATGTTTACAAATCACCCATTTATTCAAAATCAATTATTTCAACCAACAAAATAACTAAACATTGAAACCCTATTTAAATTCTAAATCACCCACTCACGGATGAGAATCCCTCCTTCGATTATACCAGAGTTAAACTACTCACACATAGTGCATATTAAATAAAAAGCAAGTATGAAAGACATAGCAATTACTGAGTAAATGAAATTATATATTGAAAACATAACTTAAATTCCAAAACTTTGTATCTAAACAAGAATGAAAGATTAATTTTTAAACAAGAAATTTAAAGTACTTCTTATTAAACTAAAAAGGAACAAAAAGAATAAAACCACTATATGTTTTGTTAAAGAAAACGGTGAAGAAAAACCCTAGAAGAAATGGTAAAAGAAGATCCCCCT